GTTATTCATAGAAAGATATATATGAGCACTTTTATTTATTTTGAAAAATTATTTTGAATCTATGCTAAATATTAAAGTTCTGATGTTAGATGAGTAATTTTATTTCTATTACATTTGCTTCAATGTGGAAAAGCATTTTCTGTAGAGAACTATAATAATTGTTTGTTTTATTTTTTGAAAAAATATGCATGGGAGATTACTTTGAGCCTATGTAAACATGAAACTTAGATGTTGGATAAATTATTTTGTTTCACTTGTCTTTTCTTTAATCTAAAAAAATATTTTTGGAGAAAATTATGAGCACTGTTGGTTTGTTTAAAAAATTATACATGGAAAATTCCTTTGATATGATGCAAACGTTAAGCTTAGATGCTATATTTGTTATTTCCTTTCAATTTCCTCTTGTTCAATAAGGAAAATATATTCATGAATAGAATATATATGAGCATTGTTGTTAATTTTGAATAATTAATTTTGAAGCTACGTTAAATATTAAAGTTTTGATGTTAGATGAGTAATTTTGTTTCACTTACATCCACTACAATGTAAAAAAACACTTTCCGTAGAATTATGATCATTATTAGATTTTCTGAAAAAATATATATGAGAAATTAAATTGAGTCAATGTAAACATGAAGCTTAGATGTTAAATAAGTTATTTCAATTCACTTGTCTCTTCTTCAGTCTGAAAAAAATATTTTATATAAGAAATTATGAGCATTTTCGTTTGTTTGAAAAATTATACATGAGAAATTCATTTGCTCTAACCAACAGTGCTCATAATTTTCGTCAAAAAATATTTTCTAGATTGAAAAAGAGACGAGTGAAATGAAATAACTTATCTAACATTTAAGTTTCATGTTTAGATGAGCTCAAAACAATTTTTCATATATATTTTTCCAAAGAAAACCAACAATGAACATAATTTTCTACAGAAAATACTTTTCCACATGAAGCAGATATAAGTAAAACAAAATTACTCATCTAACATCATAATTTTAATATTTAACATAACTTCAAAATAAATAACAGTACTCACAATATATATATATATATATATCAATGAATAACTTTTCTCTGATTGAATAAGAAGAAAGTGAAAGAAAATAATTAATCAGCATCTAAACTTCGTGTTTGCATCAGATCAAAAAAATTTCTCATGTTTTCTCTCCGGAAAATATTTTTCTAGATTGAAAAAGAGTACAGAAAAGAAATAAATAACTTAATATTTAGATGGGCTTAAAGTAATCTTTCATGCATATTTTTCCTTAAGAACTAACAGTGATTATAATTCTCTACAGAAAATGTTTTTCCATATTGAAACAGACGTAAGAAAAATATAATTATTTATCTAACGTCAAAACTTTAATATTAAAATTGCTTCAAAATAATTTTTTAAAATAAATAACAGTGCTCATATATCTATCCATGAATAACTTTTTTTTATTGAACAAAAAAAAAAGGAAATAACTTATTTAGTATATAAACTTCATATTTGCATTTGATTAAAGAAATTTTTAATGTAATTTTTTAAACAAAACAACAGTGCTCATAATTCTCTCCAAAAAATATTTCTACAGATTGAAGAAGAGGCAAGTGAAATGAAATAACTTAATTAATATCTATGTTTCATGTTTATATGGGCTCAATGTAATTTCTCATATATATTTTTCCAAAAAAATCAACAATGATTATAAGTCCCTATAGAAAATAACTTTCCACGTTGAAGCATGATGTAAGTAAAACAAAATTATTTATCTAACATCAGAACATTAATATTTAACATGGCCTCAAAACAATTTTTTAAAATAAATAAGAGTGCTCCTATATTTATCCATGAATTACTTTTCTTCATCGAACAAAGGAGAAGTGAAAGGTAATAACTTATCTAGAATCTAAACTTCATAATTGCATATGCTAAGAAAAATTTCTCGTGTATGAATTTTAAAAAAAACCAATTGTGCTCATAATTCTCTCCATAAAATGTTTTCTAGATTTAAGAAGAGGTAAGTGAAATAAAATAGCTTATCTAACTTTTAAGCTCCGTGTACATGGCTCAAATTAACTTCATATGTGTATTTATTCAAAAAATCAACAGTGATCATAATTTTATCCAAAAAATAATTTTTACATTGAGGTAGATGTAAATGGAAATAAATTACTTGTCTAACATCTAAACTTTAATATTTAACATAACTTCAAAATAATTTTTCAAGATAAACAACAGTACTCATATCAATCAATAAATTACTTTTTTTAGTCAACAAGGGGAAAGTTAAAGATAATAACTTGTCTAAAATCAAAATTTCATGTTTGCATCAGCTCAAAGGTATTTCCCATACATATTTTCTTAAAAAAAAAACCCAATAGTGCCCATAATATAGAGGCAATCAAATGCAATTATTGTAATGCAACTTATAAAACTTGTTTAGCAGTTGAGCTTTTATATTTCCATCGGGTCAATGTAATTTCTCAGGAAAATAAAGAGAACAAAAGGAAAATATGATTATCTCAAATGAACAAATAGTAACAAAACTTAAGTTGAGGCAATGAAATGTAATTATTGTAATGCAAAATATTTAACTTATCCATCAACTGAATTTCCAAATTTTCATCGGGTCGATGAATTTTTTTAGAAAAACAGAGAGAACAAAAGAAAAAAAATGATAAAATAGCAGGCAAACCGAAAAGATGATAAAATGCAAACAATCAAATCATCAAACCACCCAAACAAGAAAATGACAAAACGCAAATCATCAAACCACCACCACAGAGAACCAAGGAGATGGAGAGATACGTATAAAGATTGGAAGCAAGAGTCGGCGGCACCGAGAGCGAACAAAAGGGAAAAGGAAGTTGAGTTTCTTCCCTAAAGACAGAACAACCAAGAATGGGGGAAAAAAGCGATTAGGGGTATTTACGGGGACACATGGAGGAATTTTAGAAATTGTAGAGAGGCAACGATGATATTTCGAAGTCGAAATGGAGCTCAAACCTGGAAATTCGGATAATTTTATATTTGGTAAAGTTTGGAACATGAATTCATTATTTTGGGGAGAATTTCACAATGAAATTTTATTGAACAACAAGCCCTTCCCTCAAAGCCCTGAGAAAAATAGTTCCCCCTTGACCATAGTTTTATGCATCAATAAAGTTGGCATGTCATTTGAGATGAAATATATTGAAGATTTTAGCTCAAGTTTTTCAAAAATATGTACTTATCATCTCCATAAGCTTCTTTAGCGCCTCAAATTGCCAAAATTAAGTCTAACACATCAAAAAATGTGATGGGTCAAAAATCACTAGTAAAACGACATAAGGCTAACAATAAGCTAGAATGGTCACAAGCAAGCATAGGCCACCTCACACTGGACTTTGTAATGTCACATAAGTTATTTTCTATTTTTAATGCTACTTTCAATTCAAATTTTAATTTTAAAAATCCTTCTAGATAAGGTAGTTAAGATTATCATGGCTATGAAAATTTTGAAAATATATTTACTTGATAAATTCTGAAAGGTAAAAAACACAAGCCTAGCCAGTTGAAGTAGTTTCATTAAATAAAATATTACATAAATTTGTTCTTCGCCGCATGTTAACAAGGTAGGATTGCAAAGCTTCAAATGCATGAGATGTTCTTGTTTTATTTAACAGAGATAATTTGAATTCAAATGTGGCGGAGTTAATAAGTGGATTCTAATAGATCATCGGCATTGACTTTGGTCGATGATAGATGGATGACAGCAGGCATTCATGTCAATAACGGTAGGAAATAGTAGATAGCAAACAATAATCAACTATGAATAATTGATAGCAAGCAATGGCAGATGATTGATGGAAGATATCGGCATCATTAAATAGCAAATGCTGGTGCTAGCCATTAGTAAGCAGCGATGAAAGATGAGCACTAACAAGCAACAAAGAAAGTGAGACAGTAAATATCATTGTCAGTCAACAATAGGCAATAGTTAATAGCGAGCAACTCAAGGCACATGTCTACATCAATCAATAACAACCAATGGTAAAAAACATGCAAAAACAGACAAACGATAGTGAATGATAATAGTCAAATGTCAACAAGAGACAAGGATGTGTCTTTTGAATTCTTTACAAAGCCCAAAACTTTCTTTTTGAAAATCTCAACTTTAATGTGTAGAAACATGAACACTTTATAAATTTATAGAGATGCATTTTTATCATTTCTATCAGAACCTTGGGCACTCTATCGGATTATCTAGTCTCTATCTATCATTCTATATATTATGGATATCTCGGTGCCTTAATAAGTGAATTAAAAGATTTTGAACTAGTTGGATTCATCGTTTATTTTGACTATAAATATGAAAATCTTGGAAGGCAATTAAACCCAAATGGCCTCAAAAAGGTTTAGTACTTAATTAAAGATCAAATGGGTCTTGACTAGAAGTTTGCTGAAAAAAAGTTTGAAAAAACACAGTCAATTTTGGAACTTTATGGTTCAATCATTTGTTCTTTAAAATATGAAAATTTGCTTAAAAGTATGATAACATCCAAACTTAAATTGAATAATAATAACATTTGTGTTAGATGAAACATCTACCATATGTTTTTCCCTCATTACCACAAAACTTGCTTTAATGTCGCTTAAATGCTCCAATTAAAGTAATAGTCATTTTAAAAAAATTATATTGTATCATTGCCAGATAAAATTCTTGAATAAAAAAAAAGAAAAGGGAAAGCACAATCAATAAATTGCAATAAGTTAAAGAACAGAATAAACTCAACATGCACCCAAGTTAAAAATATTTAGAATTTAACTCCACCTTCAACAAGTTCTCAAAAAACTAGCATTTAAACACCAAATAAAGAACAACAAACATACACATATTTTTCTACAAATATACCACATGCTTGTGCCATAAGAAGTAGAATGATTAACAAAAAGCAGGCCAAATAAAAAAAATGGGAAGACAAAAAAAACAAGATAAACAAATACATGAACATCAAAAAATCAGTTTTACCTCTATGGCCTTGCTTGGAGCAACTCGAATAACATTAACAAAATTTCCACGAAACAAACCCTTCCATCCTTCATTCCTTAAAATACTTTGGAAAACTTCAATAGTCGAGTTGCCATTACTCCCTACCATCAAGTGAGTTCTGATTGTCTCCAAGGGGGCAACCATAGTTCGGGAAACAGCCCCTGCAACTCCCCCACTAATAAAGCTCCTAAGAGAAGGATCCCGCACTTTAACTCTGATTTTGAGGACATCCTTCTCCTTGATCTTTGCCTTAGTTACCACAGCACCGTCAGCTGCACCGAATACTGTGTCTTGTTGCTCGAGAGGAATCCTACAATTCAAAGGAGGAGGAGCTGCGTACTTGGGAAAGGGATCAGAAAATGGAATTCCCACACTATTATTACTAGAGTTTGACGGGCTTGAAGAAATACCAAATCCTGAACCGGTGTGACCAATACTCGCAAACAATCCACCATTAGGGTAAAAGCAGTCCTCAATGCACCAAGAAAGGTTCAAGCCAGTGAAGGGGAGTGGAAACCGATCCCTTTCATTTTCAATGGCATGCAAACATCTGCCGGCCATAACCCAGACTCCGGATAAAACCTCCAACAACAATGGCGGAAGGGATTGAAAAACTATAAAATTTCGAAAATCGAACTGAACTAAGACGATGAAAATAGAACTAAATCAAGGGGCAACATTGCTTATGCTTGAAGATTCTTAAATTTAAAGCAGACATATTCTCGTTATAATTGCATTCACTTGCAGGGACAAAAAAAAAAAATTGAATTTTCTATCTAGGAATCATGAAAAGTAAGGTAAATAAGCAAAGATACCGCTTGAAATCAACGCAATGGAGATCGAAAAAAGCAAGGCTTCCCAACCTGAAACCTGGAGCAACTGGAACGACAAGCAGCCGCCGAGATACAGACAGAGCAGGATCTTTAAGGTTTACATCACAGAGGACTTGCCAAATTTATCTGCGCTATAATTCTCGTTAGGTTAAGTAGGTATGGATCAGCATTGTAATTTTTTTTTGTAATTTTGTGATTTTGACTTTCTTAAAATTCCCGTTGCGATTTTTGCTTCTCATTTCTCTTACAATTCGATTTACAGTAAAACATAATGTTCTTATATTTAAACCTAGAATTCATTTAAGTGAAAAAATAGGTGTCTTATTTTTACTCTTAATTTTAGCATTTATCCATCTTATTGCGGGATGGAAATTAAATCATGAATGTGGAGAAAAGATTGCGTCCGGACGAAGGGACGCGATGCACGGGAAGATTGGTCTTTTTTTTCCTTCGCATATTCCGTGCATCGCATCACTTGTTCTGACTCAGCTTGGGTGCGAACTCAAAACGTAATATTTTACATTGTTTTGTCAAAATACCTTAATTTTTTCCCCCACATTTCGCATACAATTAGCTTATAAAACAAAATAAATTGAGGTCTCCTCATATTCCGTGCATCGCATCACTTGTTCGGACTCAACTTGGGTATGAACTCCAGACGTAATATTTTATATTGTTTTGCCAAAATACCTTAGTTTTTTTTCCCCACATTTAGCATACAATTAGCTTATAAAACAAAATAAATTGAGGAATAGAAAATTTCATTAAGCATAACCTAATTGCAAACAAACTGTTATAAGAAAATAAGTACAATAAATGTTTATCTACAAGTAATAACTGTATTGGTTAATTATTAGGTGCGGAGAGCTGCGTGCGCTCTCCGATCACAGCCGCACATCGCGGCTGTATGACAGTGGATCACTGCTATATTGATGTATCACGTAATGTGGTTAAGAAAAATCAAGTGAAAGTTGAAATATATGCGCCAAAATTAAAGCTCAAATAAGAGATCAAAGAAGATGCCTGATAAAAAAGGTTCGAGTAAAAACCCAGCAAAAAGCTCTTTTTTAAAGTATTTAAAATCTATTTTTTTATTTTATTTATTTTGTATTTATTATTTAGGATTAGAATATATTTAGCATGCCATTTATAGAAGGAATGATATTGAAATAATAATGCATTAATTGCAATTGGTTGAAGATTTGATTATCTATCTTGTAAATTGTGGGTCCGTTTGGGGTAGCATGTGTGTTTCAGGATAAGCTACTTATCCTGAAACGTGGCCCGCGGGCCGACCACAGGGGTCGACCCGCGGCCTGCGTTTAGTGTAAAAACACAAACCCAGTTTCGGATAAGCTGGTGAAACGCACGAACCAAACAGTACGACGGCGTTTTGAAAACGCCGCCCGCACTTATAAGCTGCCCCAAACGGACCCTGTGTTAATTATTTCAATCTCTCACATCTCTTCCTCTACATTTTAATCATCATCTAAGAACAGTCATCCATTTTCTTTAACAAGGACTACAAAAGCCCATGGGTAGCCATTGTCCAACTAAGGTGGACAACTACCTGGATTAATTCTCTACATTATAACAAAGCCTTAACCTCTATCTAAATCCACCAAATTTCAAGGACATATGCTAAGGGGTATATGGCAACATATTTAAGTATGATTTAACTTATATTTTTTTAAACATAAAAATTAGATACTTTAAATCCATGATTTAGTAAATTCAGTTCCTTCTCAATTATTTTGCAGTTTTGCCTTAAATTTTGGATTTACTAAATCATGTTATTTGCACAATTTAACAAATTCAATTTTAGGATTTATCAAAGTTGTTAAAGCCAATATCATTTGGTGAGTTTTTTTAATTATTATTATTGTTGCAACGATAGATCTTAAAAGAGTTATATATAAGTGATTGAATACAACATTCACAAAATAATATAGTATCTTAGATGATAGAAATATTACCTTAGAATGGATTGAAACATTCAAATGATGAAAATCTTTGTAATTCATGGATCTATTGAAACATTCAAATGATGAAAATCTTTGTAATTCATGGATCTACGGGACGAGGATTTCCCTTATCTTATGGGTATAAAATATGATTTATTTTATTCTAGGGTATGGCATCTCTATGAGAGTATTCCCTTATAGTTAATTACATCTCAAGAATTACTCATGAGAAACTCTTGATTGAAGTTATGTCTTATACCTTTCTTGATTATCAGTGAATGTTTATGAGATGACAAATGTTTGAAGACTTAGATAAAAGAATAAGCTTGGATAAATATTGACTTCACTTGAGCTGAACAACTTGAGTTTGTAAAGTTAATTTTAATGTTAAAAATTTATTTTTCAGTTAAAGTTTAATTTTATGTAAATTGGTTGTTAAATTTTAAAAATTGATATTAAAATTTTAAAACTAATTTGTTAAAAATTTGAAGTCTAGTGAAATTGATTTGTTAAATTTAGCAAATTTGTTTTAAGTTAATTATTAAAATTGGTTTGAAAATTATTAAGTTTTGTTTTAAGATTTTATAGTTTTTTATTAATGTTTGAAATTAATAAAGATTTATTAAATTTAAATTTAAGGTTGGTTTAAAATTTTTTAAAAAGGATTGTTAACGCTTGTTAAAGTTTATTTAACTTCATTAAAGTTTATTAAATTTTGTTTTAAATTAATTAAGTTTGTTAAGGAATTAAGGTTGAAGTTTAATTAAGTCTAATTTATTAAAATTCAATTAAGTTTATTAGAATTTGTTAAAGTTTGATAAGTTTATTATGATTTTTATTCTTTAAGGTTACAATTGATTAAAGTTAATTAAATTAAAATTTGGGTTGAAATTTAAAATTTCTTTATCCTTGAGGTTTAGGCCAAATTGTTGAAAGTCAAAATGGTAAGATGCCGCTTGAATTTGGAATTTAGGTTTGAGGTATAGATTTGAGTTGAATTGAAAATGGAGTTGATTTGGATCTGATTTGAATGGGTTCGGATTGGACTTAGGTTTGATTTGAATCAAATTAGAATTGATTTTCAAAACGACTTGGATTGAGATTAATTTGATTCAAATAGAAACAGAGTTAGGAGATACCCTAGATGTAGAAATGATAGAGGATTTCTAGATGGAGTTGAAAAACTAACCAAAATGACTCTAAACAGGAGGTTATAGGTAGACTAACCTAAATTTTGGGAATAAAGCACCCGATCAAGATGCCCATTCTTTTCCATCTTCTCAGGTATATTAATATCTTTAGACTCATCATAATAATGAATAACGGTAGACATTATCTTTATAAAATAGTTTTGAGTAGCTTCGTCATTCTATAATACTTCTATAGTCCAAGGGGAAGGTCATTTGTTTTATATATCCTAGTTCTTAATTCTATATATTGAGTACCTAGTAAACTAACTTAGACTTCTAAACTAAATTACTCTAGGGTGTGTGTGGACCTAGTTTTTCGTCCACGTTAGCTAACCTAGGTTCACAGTATGGAGTTATACTAGTGTGTGGTTATAAAAATCTAAAGTTTGTCGATTTTAATTATTTCAAGGGCTTGTTATTTAAAGTATGATTTTTTTAATCCTTAAGTTTGTCAGTTATGGTGAAAAATCAATGTTCTTGGAAAGTTTTTTAATTTTAGTTTTTCTAGGGTGTCAGTTGGTGTAAAAAAATCACAATTCTTCTAAGGTTTGATGTTCAGCTTTATTTCCCAAATGTTCTTGTTCCACATTCTTAGGATTTTCAGTATGTGTGATCTAAGAGCTCATATTAAAAAAAATTAAACCTAAACCTTCTAATTCTATAGTTTTAATGTACAAGGATCACTCATTTTTCTATTAAAAATATTTAATTTCTCATGCAAAAAGGATTTTTTGAAAAACTAACTTGTTATGTAAAAACTGTATGAGCATATGAGATTACTTTGATATAAAACATCTTGATTGAGAATGGTCTAAAACACATATATTCACAAGTCAAGGTTACAAAACCATGTGTTTCAGGGAAAAATAATATTCATTCTGTAAGCACTCGAACTAAAGAGTATATAAGCATTGTCTAGGCTAAGCATATTGAGAGAGCTTGGTAAAACATATCAAATGATTTATCATATGCTCAAAAGGGTTTTAAAGGGTTGAAAAAGTTTTTAAAATCTTGTTTTATTATGTTTTGAAAAGAGTTCTTTTCAAAAAGGTATTTTAATTCTTTTGTCTTTTAAAAAAAAATTATCTTAATTTTAGAAGAGCTTTGAGCATTGAAATTTTTGAAAAGATTTTGATTTTTAGAAAAGATCTTTAATTTTAAAAGAACATAAAAAAAAGATTGAACTTAGGATTTTGGAAAAGGAGTTTAATATTTTGAAAGATCTTACAAAAATTTTGAATGGTGAAAGACTTTTAAGCTTTCTACACTTTAAAATTAGAAATTTTAGAGTTCTTTTAATTGGAGTAGAAAAGTATTTTTATGAGTTCTTTATATTTTAGAAATTCAACTTTTAGAGCACATTTAGTTGAAGTATAAAGATTTTTATTTTGTGGGTTGTTTTACATCTAAAAATATGTCATTTTGGAGCACATTTAATTTATTTATATATAAAATTATTATTTTAAATACTTTTAAAATCATTACACTCTCTCTTTTGCTTGCCGTAAGAAATTTAATTCTTCTTCCTATGAATGTCTCAACCACACATTTTTAATTAACCAACATTCATATCTAGTGAAACCTCTTAAATTACAATTTGCATAATACACTTTAAACTCAACATGCATCATAAAAAAAAGGTAAATGCAACATTTAAGCATGCATCCATGCACATACACTATCACAACATGCAAATCATGCATCCATGCAATCATAATCGTCACACTCCATATATTCTAGTTTCTTCTCTTCTTGTGACACGTTTCTACTGGATTTCTATTTATCTCAAAAATGCATGTTAAAAATGAATTTCAATAAAACTTATCTATCAAAAAAGATTTTCATTCAATTTTGATTTTTTTTTGTTGGAAATACCCAACAAAAAATGATATTCTACATCATCACAAAAGATCACTAGAAAGACTATCAGGCTGTGACTTTTTTTCCAAAAAGATTTTTAAGCTGATTATCTAATGGT